TCTATTAATTTATATTTTTATTATTATTTTTTGTTAAAAAAATCTATAATCAAAATCAGGTTGTCCAAAYAAAACCTGATTTATTAGCATCAATTTTCACTATTCATTTTCAACAATTGTGATTATATTGAATTTCGATTATTTTTTATTATTTTTCTTAACCATAAATCACTTAAAACTTGTTTTTAATAAACACTTCAGAAAAGCTTGAGTAATATGGAAAAATTATCACCGAGCACGTAACATCAGAAAAACCATTTCCTGGTTTCAATAAAAAATTTCATATCGTAAATCTATGCATTTTCAAAACTTGTTCAAAAAACATTATTTGTTTAATGACACCAACTCGCACATAGCCTATTTAGAGCACATTTTTTTTTTTTTTTTTTTTTTCAATCAAAAACATTTTTCATACTTTTCGAAACAATGATGAATGCATCATTCTGCTGGATCTGCAAGGCGGCCAAAGCCACGATGGCGACAAAAACAAATTTATACATTTTCTATAATATTCAAAGTAAACGCGAACGATGTTTTATTCGATTGAAATTTTTTTTATACTTTTTTAATATTTTTGTTTTGTAACTTAATTATTTTTCAAATATTAACAAATCTGTTGTTGGCTCAACGGCTCTTTGGCACACTCAAAAGCAACTACACGATTGCTCCCGTCGTTTGAAACGAAACTAGTTGTTAACTTTAACAGTGGCTTTTATATGCCCTCGGAGTCCACTCTGAACTTCTACATCGACTTCTAGCTATGTAAGCAGCCATACCCAACTCGACGTAACGCACTCGTCTTCGCTCGTGACGATAGCCACACGCCATTTCGCATAATTCTAGCCATTCGTCGTACTCGGTATTTTATCACAAACACGTATTTATGTTTGGATGTCGGTATATTTGTCTGCGTTGCGTATCAGCCAGTAAGTCACTATCATATTTGTTTTAAACGCTGTTTTTTTTCCTTAAAGCCACTTATGGTCACTGTAGTCATCAGCCAACATCCCATCTAGATTAATAATGGCCAACAATGATGGCTGTGAAGCACCTTTGCACGCGACTCAAGCGAGCTGCGAGCGGATGGCGACAGCCACAGACACAGACACAACCGCAATCACAGCATTGGCGGGCAGCGCTTTGTCTATTCTGTAATCGTTTTTGCGTCAAGTGCCGCAGAGCAAATTTGTATGTAAAACTTGTTGCGACGGGCGCTCGATGTTTTTGAAACTGTCAGTCTAGTATTTGAACGTTTATGTATGTTTGTTGGCGATTGATTAGCATACGCGTTAAATTTTTTCCTTGTTTCTGTTTTTTATTTGTATTGAGAACCGGCTGCAGCTCTACGAAGCTGAAGTGTGTCTTTTGTTTTATTGATTTTTATCTGAGCATAATTTTATAAATTTAAATTTAACATCATCTCATTGTTGACCTACACCAAATAATGGCATTTTTAACTCACTAAACGGCAAGTAAGTTGTGGAAATATTACACCTTGTAAAGCTCGCTGCATGTCAAAAGTTGCAAGAAAGATGAGGAGTTAAAAGCGTCATTTTGAATATTTTTCACAAAAGTTTATTAGGGTTTAATAGTCTCAAGTAGGACGGACCTAAAATATAATTTCATTTAGATTTACACCGCGATCTAAGGTCCTCCTCCATCACATATACTTGCAAAAGCTCAGCTCGAGAACTTGCTGGGCGCTATTGAGGTGATAGGACCACAAGACAGGCTTTGGAACTACCATTCTAGAAGCAGCAGTAGAGCAGGCATGCCGTCAGCCAATTCATTGCTTCTTTTTTTTCCCGTCACCCACATGAGGTGGACACAGGTGCAAACTGATAGGCTCTTCATGTACCAGTAGCAATTTAATCTCAAAGACTGAGTATGGCTATACGTTGATTATGATATTTACGTTGGAGATTTATTTCTGCAGCCTGACTCCTAGCAAAGAACTCAGCTCGACATATACTCGGAAAAGATACCATCGGTAAGGAAAGTTGAAGTTTTGGAGATATCAGGTAGAGAAGGGACTGGCTGTATTTCAGATCTCTAATTGGCTTCAAACAGCGAAGAGAAGAAACCACTGGCGCACTGCAGCTAACTCGGATATAACCGCGTAAGCGTTCCAGCGTCTCTCTCATCTCTAGTTATTTCTCTACATTTTCTGCACATATCCTCTTCACTTATATCTATCCGGCTCTAATATGCTATCGATCGATTATGACCTGTCATTAGGGCAACAATCGTCCTGCAATTCTTTCAAGACCGTTTGAGTCAAAAGTATGCGTGTTTTTCTCCGGGGCTTTTGTACAAAATCTCAACGATCCGGCATGTTCTTAAGGCGTTTTTCTACATTTATAAGAGTAACAAACTAGTGGTTCTCCAGTGCACTTCGCTACACCAAACAAAGTACAGCAGTTCTACGGAATAATCATAAGAATATTACTAACGCCCGCTGTCGTTACAGCCTTGAAATGTTGCAACACTTTGAAACTGGCGTCATGTAAACGAAAATGTTTCCACATTTCCAACGATTTGAAAAGATTTACGTGTATTTAAAAGTCCAATGGTACTATATTCTAGCGAATTCAATGAAAGCCATGACAGTTGTGGCTATTTCAGACACCAACCTTAACAAGTAAACGTGACGTTAACAGTTCCGGGAGCGCTTACATTTGCTTGCTACATATATAGATAGGTAGGCTGATATATCTAGCTGATGGGCTGACAAGTTAGTGTCTATTCCGACGCCACTGCAACTGCATCTTTATACGAAAGATTGGCATTTGAGTGACACAAGGTTTAGCCAGCATCACTTCAAATTATTTACCATACGAGTATATGATGCATCGTTTAAACAAAGCTTCCAAAGCTCTACAAGTCAACACTTTCGATTATTATAAATTCAATAATTTAAAAGTGCGCAGAAATAGCATTCGAAGTCGACTTTTTGTTAAATTATAAAGCAGATTTTAACAAAAAAAATTTTCTTTGTTATATTTCCGTGTTTTATTCAGTTCGATTCACCATCACTTCATTTCGCAACATCGATGACATAGTTAACAGCTAAGTGGAAACTGTTAGAGTAGCAAAACTTTCAGCTGCAAGTGTTTACTAAAACAAAAAAAAAAACATAGTTTAAAATAAATCGAAACTTTAAGTAAATGTTTTCTAGTTTATTAAGTCAAATAAGTGTGAAGATGTTGAAGAACATTGAACTTTTTCCGCTTCGAAAGCATTTAGGTCTAGACGCTATTTCGAAAGTAACCAGTTTTTAGTATCTGCAACAATTTATGCTGTACATACATACATATATGTCTTTTTATATATTTACATATATAGTTTTAGTTTCAAAAAGATCCCCTAATTCTGCATATTTCTTTTATGAAAGTCAAGTTTTGTTTGTTTTTGGTTCAGTAACTAGTAAGAAAGAACTTTGTATGTAAACCATGAAGTCGATAACAGTCTTAAGTACATATATATTAGGTTGTCAAAAAAGTCTTGCCGTATTACTTGCGATATTTTTATTGAATTTTCAATTGTTCATAAAATTTTTTTTGATAACTCATGCCCAGCTCTTGACCGATGCGACGGCTGCTACTATGCCGGTCTCTTTCGACCAATTCAGCGATTTTATCGCAATTTTCGACGACAGGCCTGCCGGAGCGTGGCGCATCTTCGACCACCTCTACACCAGAACGAAAACGTTGAAACCATCGTTGTGCGGTGGAAATGGAAACTGTATCGGGTCCATAAACTDCACAAATTTTATTGGCGGCTTGAGATGCATTTTTGCCKTTATCRTAGTAGTACTGTAAAATATGCCGTATTTTCTCTTTATTTTGCTCCATGTTTGCGACGCTATAACTCACGAACGACTTAAAAGAAACGACAATTAATCAAACATGTGTTAGCGCGTGAAATGAGCTTTCTAAAAAGGTATAGCAATGTCCGATGCGACGAATAAAACTAGAACTACGCGCTCTCCGCGCCAACTAGCGAAAATACCGCAAGACTTTTTTGACAATCTAATATTATATTTATTTATATATATAGTATGTATGTATACGTCAGCATGTAATACTCGTAAGCTTGTCGATCTATAATAAGTTGAAAAAAAACTTGTCGAAGGTCAAGCACGAAATTTAAATAATAACTCAATTTCAGTAAATTTTTATGCCAGATGCCATCACATTCTTGTTATTCGTATTTTGTTGGCTTAACGGTTTTTGTAATATACCATGATATTAAATATATATGTAAGTATATTGAAAAATATGTTCGATTGCTATATGTACCCAGTTGACCATTAAACTTCTCAACAGATTTCTTTTAGAGGGTGTTTGTTTCGACAAATGTTTTTCAAGAAGAACCACAAGGCCAAGAATTTAGTTCAATTGTAATGTTGAGGGTTTGACATTAAGTTTTAAAAATAATATCAGTTAACAAATTTCAGTTTCTTCGACCACTTTTTGCAGCAATTGTGGTCGTATATTACCAATAATTGATTTTTTTTTTTCAGATCATACACAGATCGTCTCGGGCTTATCTGCGCGGACTAGCGACTTCACATAAGCCGACAAAAAGTAGTATACTTACACATTAGGATATAACGGCGTCTCAGCAATGGCTGCTGGATTGTCATCAGTTAAATTGCGGCAATTTTTAGTTATTAACATATCAAATTAAATAAAAGGTGAGTTTCATAACCAAACAAACAACTTCTGTGAAAATCGGGGTGCTTTTCGATGCTCTGCGTCCCACTAGCAATCGCGTCTTCAACCATTCTTTTTTAAACTCTTGAAACCTTTTGCTACAGGGTATGCTAGTTATGTTCACCCAACGGTTTTACATATCAACTAAAACTAAGCGAGATAGATATAGGGTTATATACATATATGTAAATGATCAGGATGACGAGAAAAGTTGAACTCCGAGTGACTGTCTGTCTGTCCGTCTGTTCGTCCGTTCGTGCAAGCTGTAACTTGAATAAAAATTGAGAATATCTCGATGAAATTTGGTATGCGGATTCTTTAGTACAAAAAAAAAATTACGACTTCGTGGATGGGAGTAGTCGGGTCACTGCCCAAAACGTGGCTTTGTGGTAGCCAAGGTGTTGACGATGAACCTGGCCGCCCACTTTTTGGTGAAATCCTATATCTCGGGACCCGACCAACCGATTTCTACAAAATTTAGTATGTGGCGTTCTTCTTACATTCTTATGTCAAGTGAATGAAATTGGACAACAACCATGCCTCCCATATAGCACAATTTCAAATTCCATTTGATTCTTTCACTTTCCAGTTCACAAATCGAGAAGTAATTAATATAACAAAATAAAATGTATGACCAAAAATTGCTCAATTCCAGTCAATCCGAATATGTTAATACTTGACCTGTCCCCATACAGGGTTTGTCCGGAAATTAATTGGACTGATTTTCTTTCGCTGCGACTGTATTTCGGAGCGTGCGCGCACCGACTGGATTAGGTTAGGGATCCTTGCTAACGAGACTTCAAGAGACTCAAACGAAGTATCAATCGGGTCCAACAAGACATCGCAGCCGATTGGCAGTTGCAACACGACAACGCCCCGGCTCACACCGTCTCTTTTGTGAACAGCTACCTAACTTAGGCCGACATCCCACACCTTCCGCAGCCGCCCTAGAGCCCAGAGGTGGCCACCTCGGACTTGTTTTGT